ATCGGGCCGGGCCTTGGCGCGGGCGGCAGCGGCAGCGTGGGCAGCGCCCCGGGGCGGAAGGGCCCGGTGGCCGGCGCGAAGCTGGCCTGCTTGTTCTCCTGGATGGTCTGCATGGGCAGACGGCGCAAAGCGCCCAGCGCCGGCGCCCCGAAGCCCCCGCCCCCACCGTAGGCCGCGCCCTTACAGCCGCTGAAGTAGGCGGGCGCCCCGGCGCGAGCCCGCGGCCCGTAAGCGTCTTGCGCGCTGTCCAGCAGGGCCTCCGGCAGCCCAGCGCCGCCGCCGTGCAAGCCCAGCGGGCCTCCTAGCTCGGCCAGGCGGGGCAGCTCCCCGGGGCAACGTGCACCCAGCGCCGGCGATAGCGCGCTCGCCGGGCTCGGGTACATGAGCGGCGACGACGGCGCCAGGGCCTCCAGGGCCTCGTCGTCCTCCAACTCGGCCGCCTCCCCGAGCAGGGGTCGCCCGCCGCCGCCGCGGAAGTCGGCCCACGCCTCGTAGTCGTCGCTGGCGTGTGAGGCTGGACTGGCGACCCACTTGGCCGCAGCGGGCGTGGGCCCAGGGGCTGCCGCGCCCTGGGGGCTGGTGTCAGGGCTCCGCTCGGGTGCCTGCAGCTGCTTCTTTTTGCTCGCTTTGCCCTTGATGCGTAGGAACTTGGCCCCGTTGTCCATGGACACAGCCCTGCGCCGCGGGGTCTTGCCCGTCTTGCCTCCCTCGGGGTTCAGCATCCACCAGGAGCTCTTACCTGTGCCCTCATTCTGTACGCGGATGAAACGCGTGTGGAGCGACAGGTTGTGGCGGATGGAGTTCTGTGGCCGGAGACAAGGATAGGGGTTGGGAAAGAGGGGAAAGCGATGGGGGGGAAATAGAAAAAAGAAGTTAGAGGATAAGAGAATGGAGAAGAGCCAGATGGGGGAAGGGGAGGCAATAAGGAAGAATGGGGAAAGGGGTTGGGCGAAGAGAGAAGGGGGAGCAAGTGTAAGTACCCGGTTGGACAAACCCAGAATACCCATCTTCTTCCCTCGAACTCGCCCCCACCCCCGACACTCCCCAGAGGGTAGGGCTGTAGCGCTGGGCCCAGCTAGTCCCTTGAGGCCAGGCCAAACTCTGAGGGCTACTCTGGTCCGCCCGGGACCTACAGTAGGGGAGTGGGGACCCCCTTTTCCCCCTCCTCCGCCAAGCCCTGCCTGGGCTGGCCGGGCTGCCAGAGCCCCCCAGCAGATTATGTAACGGCTCATGCCGCCGCCGTGGCTCATTTGTCCGCCCCCCTCTCTCCCCAGCCTGGCATGGCGCCAGGAGCCCGAAAACCCAGGGCTCCAGAAATCAATCTCGCGGTGACTGATTAAGCCCTGTTTAGAACTAATTGCTCTTTCGTGTGTGGGGAGAATAAATTACCTGCTTTAATTTCATGTCTTTAAAATGCAACTGCAGGTAGAGAAGACTGTTAACCCTTTGCTGGGATGGCCTGGCCAGGGAAAACAAGATAGGCTGGGGGTCCCCCAAGGTGGGTATAGGGCTGAGATATTTCAGAAATTACCCCCAACCCCTTGAAATTCCTGTGGACCCCCCAGAGGCCTCGAATCCCACCAAGCCTCTCAAAAGATATCCACTGGCCAGGAAGACCTCAGACCCCACCTCTGCCCACTGCCTGCCTTCAGGCCAGCCCAGCTATGTGGGCTGCAGCCTGTCCTCCCCTCCTGTCCCACCTGCCAGAGTAACTGTGACCTCAAAGCCCTTTCTTTAGCTGGTGGAACCTTCACAGAATCCCCACAAAATAGATGACATAATCCCTATCTACAGACAAGAAAACCAAGGCTCAGAGAGGTGAAATGGCTTGCCCGAGGCCACCAGCCCTTTCTGCTTCACCTTTGCCACCCTCTTTGCCACATCCTCTCCTCTGTTTCAGCTGTGCCAGTCTCCAGAGCTCCCTTGTCACTGCCTGCTTGTTCAGGCTTGCCCTTAGGGCAAAGGAAGGCAGCGGAGTCCACATCTCCAAGGACCTGACTCCCACAGGGGCCTGGAGTAGAACTTCTGTTGGCCCTCCCAGCTGGTGGCCTCACCTTCTGGCTCAGGCACTGCAGTGGTAATAGCCTGGGCTTTGGAATCAGAAGGGCTGGACAGGACGCCTGACTTCAGCTACCTAGCTATGTGACTGTAGGCTCTTTACTCAATCTCTTCAAGGCTCAGTGAACTACTCTTAAAAAAAAATGGAGATAAACATTCAGGAACCACCTCATAAGGTTGTCAGATCATTAAATGAACTAATCGATGTATGTGGAAGTTTCTGGTGAACACACAAGGTGCTCATGGACATTGGTTAAATCCCTCATTCTGTCCAGAAGACCTCACCTACTTAGCTCACCTAAGAGATCTCTGTCTCCCTTTAGTTCATGTCATGCACAGAGGAACTGCTGGACACTGACAACTCTGGTGAAGCTAGCATTACCCCATCTCATCTATCAGGGAACGAAGGCCCAGGGGTGATGTAACTTGTCTGCAGTCCCACAGCTGGTAGGCAGCAGTGCCAGGTGTCACTCTCGGTCTGCCCAGCTCATGGACCTGCTCTTAACTCCTTAATCCAACTAGCCACACTTGTAACCACTCCTCTGGGCAGGCTCTCCCTCCTGCCACCTTCCCACCAGTCTCCAGGAGGGGGTCCGTCCTGCTGCCCAGGGTGCCCCCAACCCGTCACTCCCAGCTCCAGCTACTAACCTAACTCTTAACAGTCCCGGGCTCCCCGTCTCTGGCACTTTCTGGCCTTGGAAGGCAACACCTGGGGCTCTAAGATCCCTCCCAGCATTACCCTGCAGGGCTTCTCTTGGGAATCTGAGAGGAGGGGAGCTTGACCCCAAGGGAGAGGTACTGCCTCAAGAAGATTCCCAACTCCTGCTCCTGCCCCTGCCCCTGCCTCCGCCTCCGCCTCCCCAGCGCCTTCCCTCACACCTGTGTTCAGAGGCCTTGGAGACCTCGTGTGTTCTCCCCCTAGAGACTGTCTGGCTTACCGGAGGCTCCACCTCCCACCTCTCCACTTCCCTGCTGGAGGTCAGTCAGGCAACATCTCTTTATCAGTTGCGAGTGTTGGGGAGGAGGGAGGACATCACCAGGTAGAAGCACGTACTCGGTATCTGTCTATACAGTCCTGGATTCGGTAATTACTTTATCTCACGTAATCATTACATCAAACCCCTTACAAGGCAGGGGCTGTGATCCCCATGTCAAGATGAGGAGAACGGGCTCAGAGAGGTTAAGTTGCCAGGGTCACACAGCTTGTAAAGTGGCAGAGCCAGGTATTGATTTCAGGTTGGTCTTACTCTGAGTCTAAAGGACATCACATTCTGCCAAGGGAGAGGGAAATGAGTCACAGAATTTCCAAAGAATCTTAGAAAGCCAGGACTCCAGAGCTTCTTAAACTTCCCATGTAAACTATCCCTAAAGGCTGGCAAGCATGGGAAGGGTGGGGGCATGGTCACAAGCAGTTGTTGCAAAGTCGAAATTTCTTACATCTTACATTTTTAAAATGCAAGGAAGTTTTGCACTGCACTTCATAATACATCTAAATTTTCTCAGTAAAAAAATGTTTCAGATTACCATCTAGAACACACACTACTGGCCTATGAAGTTTGGCATCCTTGCCCCTCTGTGCCCTGCCCAGTCAGGCAGCCCTGGCAGCTCTAGCCCCCATGGCTGGTCTGACCCAGGGAGGACCTGCTCTAGGTTGCCCAGGACCTGGCGGTAGAGCAGGGATGCCCAGGGCTCCTTCACTCCACCAAGCCTGACCTGGGGCAAGCCTGTCTCCCAGTCTGGGCCTCGGTTTCCCACCTGGGAAACCTGATGGGGATGGGCCAGTTGTACTCTTGGGACCTTTTCAGTTTCCCATGGAAATTCTTGGAATCATCCAGCACAGGAGTTTTATTTTTCTATATATTTTTTTTTTTCCTAAGTAGTGGAACTGTTTGTAAATAGACTCTAACCCAGAACTTGAATATGTAAAACAGGTCAGAGGAGCCAAGCTGGGGGGGGGGGGGTGGTGGTGGTGGTGGTGGTGGCAGAGCCCTACCCACTCAGAACCCTCCCTCACACCCCTCACAGAAACAGGCCCTTGGAGGAGGGATCCTGCAGGCAGATGGAGGGGGTAGTCAAGGCCTAGAGGGGTGCAGTGCCTTACCCAGGGTCACCCCAGTCGGTGGGTCACAATTGGTATCTGAGCCTGTGACTCCTGAGCTAGGCTCTGCACCAGGTGTGCATCAGGGCCCACGCCCCATGAGAAAAGGTGCATCCTGCAGCCCAGTCTGGCTCCTCAGGGCCCAGCCACCTGGTACCAATCAGAGCTCCCGGCAAAGATCCAGTGGCAAACACTGATCCTAACTCTGGCTTGCCAGAAAGGCCTCCTGGGAGGCCAGAGGCCACAGAGGAGGCAAGGGAGGCAGAGGAGAGAGACGCCTCTGCCAGGCAGCAGTAACCAGGGCTCCCTCCCTCTCCGGGTCGCTTAGCAACCTGCCACCACAGCCATGGCCCCAGCATGCCCGGGCTCCCTTGGTGCCTAGAGCTGGGCCCGGCTTCTGGGGCCTCACACCTCCCCACAGCTACATCCAGGCCTGGTGCTGGTTTCCAAGGGAGATAAGACCTCCTGGATTTGTAGGCAGAGCAGGGGGTGGTGGGTTACATCCTGCACCCATCCCACTCTCCCTCAGAACCTGAGCCTGGGCAGCCAGCACCTGGGGCCTCAGCTGCCAGGGAGAAGAGGCTAGCACAGGGTAAAGTGCATCGGCTTTGGCATTAGATCTGGATTCCAATTTTGACTCCAACACCGACGAGCTGTGTGACCCTGGGGCAAGGTGCTTTGAACCTGCATTTCCTCAGTCGGCAATCTGCTCCCACCCTCACTCCCAATAGTCCTCCACATAGTAGCCAGAGGGGTCCTTTTAAATACCTTGGATCACGTCCAGTCCTGCCCACATCCTGCCAGTATCCATCCCACCCCCATCTCACTCAGAGTAATGGACAAGGCCTCGCCATAGCCCACAAGACCCTCCGTGACCTCTGACTCCTAACACCCTCTCCCTCTCGTTCACACCTTGCTGGCCCTCAAACCTATCAGGCATGGTCCCACCTCAGTGCCTTTGTCTCAGGGGAAACACTGCTCCCCAGATACCCACACAGATCTCTCATCTCCCTCAAGTCTTTGTTCAGGTGTCACCTTTTGCAAAGAGGCCCATCCTGACCACTTTTTAAAATCGCTTCTCTTCCCTGGCACTTCTTGGCCCCTTTAGCCTGCTCTAAAGCAATTATCACTTTTTAAATTAAAATGTAATTATCTTCTAGGTGTATTGTTTATGGTCTGGATTCCACTATATTAGAATATAAATTTCACGAAGGCAGAGATTTTTGTCTGTTTTGTTTACTGTACCCCCATTTGTTTGGCATATTAAAAAAAAAAAAGTTGCCATTGAGTTGACTCCAACTCCTGGCGACTGCATGTGTGTCAGGGTAAAACTGTGCTCTATAGGGTTTTCAATGGCTGAATTTTCTGAAGCAGACTGCCAGGACTTTCTTCCAAGGCATCTCTGGGTGTACTCAGACCTCCAACCTTTCAATTAGCAGTCCCACTTAATAAAACATGTTTGTCAAAGGAATGAATAAGTGAAAAAATGAGTGAAAGGGAGGGAGGGAAGAAGAAAGAGTAAAGGGGGTCATACTGTGTTGTAGGGAGAATTAAATGAGACTTAGTGGAGTGGCTGGCACACAATAGAGGCTGTGAGGCAGGAACAGAGGACAAATGAGATACAGATAGAAGGGTGGAGAAAGGAAC